CTGCCTGGGGGGCCCAAGGCATCTTCCTCTTCCTCGCAGTCTTTTCCACCATCCCCCCAAGCTTTGGGAAGGACAAGTCCTGATGGGGGGAAAACAAGGGCTGAGTGCGTTGGCTTGGGGGTTCCTCCTGCCCAAGTCCATCTCTAGAACTCACTGGGCATCCTATGTCCATAAAAACCTCCAAAACACCAAGATTCAGCCCAGAAAAACCCAAACCACCAAGATTCAAGCAATAAAGCCCTCAGAAATAGCAAGAAGTCCACCACCTTCCAAAAGCTGAAATTCAGCCAAACAATACTCCAAAATATGAGCATTACCCAAAAAATATCTCCCAGGAGTTCCCTCTCTCTGGTCTCTCCCCTCTGGGGTTCGGAGGGTCTCCCCTGTCTGTCATGCTGGGGGTCCCACTTAGGGATTCTGGGAGTGTTTGGGGTCCCAAGGGTTCCTTCTCCTGTGACTCTCGCCTTTGGATGCCGCATTCCCAGACATTCCCCCTTTCCATGTTCTCCACTCTGTTTTCTCAGGGATCCCAGGGGTCCCCACTGTCCAGGTTTGACCTTCTCTGCGCCCCCCGTTTCAGGCTCCCGGGGTTCTCGGGCTCCTTCCTCTCCGTGCTCCCCCCTCCAGGTTGGCAGGGGTCCCCCAGTTCCGGTATCACCCCGCTCCGCCCTCCACACTCAGCAGTTCCAGGGCTCCACACCCACACCCGGCACTCCCAGGGGGCCCCAAACCCGCTGCATCCCCCCCACCGGCACCAGGTCGACAATGGAGCTGGTGGGGCCTGACCCAGCAACACCAACCCCCACCGTGGGGGGGACCCACATCCCCCTGCCCATTGCTGGGGCTCTGCCGCCAACCCAGCCTGGCACCCCCAAAAACACCTCCTGCCCACCCCCAAGAGCACAGCCCTGCACAGGGGCTGGCTGTGCCCAAGGCAACCAAACAGCCCCACAGGCCGGGGGACACCAGAGGTGGCCCCAGGGCAATGAGAGCAGGGAGCGGATCGGGCCCCCTGACGTGGGCGGACTCTGGGTTCAGCCTGACCAGGGGCAATTTGGCACCAACAGCATGGCCCTGACCACTGGCTCAGCACAGGGGGTCCGAGCTCCCCCCTCTCTCCAGCCTCCACCGCTCTCCAAGGATCAAGTCATGGGGACAACATGGCACTCCCACTGCACATCCACTCCCACTCTCCCTCGTCCCCCTAGCCCCCCTCTCCCACCGCTTTCCCGGGCTGTTCTCCAGTGTGGATGTGCTTGTGCTGGATCAGGTTAGAGCTTCGGCTAAAGCTCTTCCCACACTCCCCACACTTGTAGGGCCTCTCCCCACTGTGGATGCGCTGGTGGGTGACGAGGTTGGAGTTCCGCTTGAATCCCTTCCCGCAGTCGGTGCAGCGGAAGGGCCTCTCATCAGTGTGTGTCTGCTCATGCAGGAGGAGATTTGAGCTGGTTCGAAACCTCTTCCCACATTCCCCACACGTGTAGGGCCGTTCTCCAGTGTGGATGCGACGGTGGGTGCAGAGATTGGAGCTACGGCTGAAGCTCTTCCCACACTCCCCACATGTGTAGGGCCGTTCCCCAGTGTGGATGTGCTGGTGTCTGAGCAGGTTGGTGCTGTTCCTGAAGCTCTTCCCACATTCCAAACACTTGAAGGGTTTCCCCCTGCTGGGAGGCTGCTCCGGGACCACCAGGTCAGAGCTCCCCCTCAAGCTCCGGCCGCCTTCCCGGCACAACCTGGGTCTTTCCTCCTCAGAGCACCCTGGGCTGGCTTTGGAGCCCCTCCTGCGGGGGGATCTCCAGCCCTTTTCCTCCCCGCTGCCTTCCTGCGCCGTGGAGCCCTTCAAAATGGCCTCTCCCACCAGGGTCTCACGGGGGGATTTGTCCTCCGGGCTCT